TTGTAATGAAATATACCAAGATCTCCCATATCAGGTCAGGAGAAAGGCTAATGTAGCCCAATTTTCATGTTTACCAGAGAACAACAATTAAGGGAAAAAAAAAATGAAAGGAGGGCATGCTAAAAGTGATTTTTCCCTCTTTTGCTGTCCTTTTCAGTTTCTTTCTAGTCTTTGCCCTCTCACCTGCCTTGTGCCAGCAGAGAGCACAGGATCCCTGTATTTGCTCTGTGTATCTGTGAAAGGGCTCACACATGATAAGTGAGAAGCCAAGTGTTGCTGCAGTTGATGTGCTGTGAGATAGCACAGGACACATGTGGGTTTCACATCTGAGCAAGGGGTCTGTTCACCTGGTTCTGTCAGCGCCCATGGATAAAGATTTATTCCTGTAAATCCTAAAATGGGGGATTTGCTTAATTTACAGAGCATATTCCTGGTAAACTTTATATATAGACTTAAAAAGAGAATTAGTGTCAAATGAAAATTGATAATAATTTACAAATATTTTAGCTCAGTTCAGTTCTTCAGCAACATGGTGATACCCAAACCCTCAGCTCTCATGGTTTGCTTTTCCCTCTCCTACATGCACCCCCAGCTCCCAAACTCTTTCTCACATCTAACAAAAACCATTTGAAAGACATCTTTTAGCAGCATGTCTGCATGCTGCTGTGAGAGTCAGGGAGGATGGAAGGCATATTGCTCTAACTGTACCAGTGTGTCTAAATTGAGTGCAGATGACAAATAACTCAGGTGCAAAGGTCTGGGAGAGATTTCATAAAAGTTATCAAGATTTATGTCACCTCAGATCAACGTATTTTATTACATCTGTTCTGAGCAAGGATGTTTTTTTGCATCCACACCATCATTTTGATGAAGAGGCACCTGAATGTGCACAGCAGAAGCTATTGGGTGAGAAAGAACATGAAATTGGACTTGGAGTGTTTGACTCATCCCAAACCACACATCTTTGAGCTGAGTCTCATTCATGGGAATGCTGTTCTTTCTCTCTCTGCACTCCTGGATGTTTCAGCTTTATCCTAGGGTAATGGAGTAGAGAAAACTGGTAACAGATACAACTGTGGGATTTTGTTTAGTTGTTGTTTATTTCAGCACAAATAGCTGCAGAGCTACATAGCTGTGAAATGTCCCATTTGGTTACAAAATGGTGAATATCCTGCTACCAGTTGTTGAGCTTGATCTAAGTACATTTGTGTTGTTCCTATTAATTTTCTTTATTTCTAGAAGGCAAAGGTGATATTAGCATTTAAATTAAAAATATTTGTTTTTCTGATTCCTTATTATTTACTGTTCTATGGACCCATTTAAAACTACTAAATTGTTTTTCCTCATTTGGTCTGTAATTTTCTGAAGCAACTTTTATTCCATAATGTTTGCCCTTTACACACAGACATTGCCCTCAAATGCTGAACCTTCATCAAAAGCACTTTCCAAAGTGGAAATAACCTGGTCATTAGAAAAAGGAGAATTGTGTTCTGAAACAATTCTTTGTTTAATCTTCAAGATTATCAGCACCTTTCATCCTTTCGTATCCATTTGATTTCTGGCTGGAATCTTCAATTATATTCTCCTGAAAAGAAATAAACTTTCTAGTGCCTGGCTCAGTGTTGAGTTTGGGTTGCTTACCCAAACTTTATGTATTACCTAATTTTTAGGTCATGTAACCTTCCAAAGAGGTGCTGAAAATGAAAATAAAAAGCACCTTCAAGCAAAGATGGTTATAACATTACATGACAATAATCATCTTACCATTAGACGAATTATTACTGTCTTTGTTGAAAGATAGGAAATTTGATTCTTTGTTTTTGTTGCAGTTTGCTATCCTGTAACAAGCACTCCATTTTGGATATATTTTAGTCAGCTTTTGATGCAGAGCCTAATGTTTCCTAGTCAGAACATAAAGATGCAGCTGTTCCATGTCTGGGCTTAAATATGAAGCTCAGCTTGATATATTGCTTTAAATGTGACAAGAAAATTAAAACTCAAAAACTTGACATACACAAAAGCTTTAGAATGAGCTGTAGAAGAATAAAAATATAATATATTGGTATAGCATATGTAGCTAAGTTATCCCTAAAGCTGTCTACACTTTAAAAATACATGGAGTACACACCAGGCATTCCTTTGCAAATCTATATAATGCTGTAAACAAGATATTATTCCACACATTTTGGCTAGATTTTCCTTGTACAGAACCTGATGATTGCATGTTGAATTACATAAAAGGTTACTATAGGTTACATAATCATTTGCACCACAAAATAATTCTACACCACAAAATGCATTTCAAAGTAATTTTCTTGAACAATGTAGATTAGAGGATCAGAGCTGCTCAGCAAGTCCCAGTCATCTTATGCCGCACATTCCACATCAAAAACAGGTTGGGGAGTCTTGTGTGGGCTTTTTTCTTTTCAGTTTTGCTTTGAACACTTGAGGTGAAAACCTTGTCCTTTTGAAGTCATCATCAGGAGTTAATCCAGCATGAAAATAGAGTCTACCAAGATTGGATCCCAACAGACTAGGGATTTGTGTCTCCCTCACAAGCCAGTTTCTTCAGCTTTTGTAGATTGGGTATATATAACTTT